GCCACATTCGTGCCTAATAACTAAAACCAAATGACCCAAAGTCTTGGGAAAAGAGACGAAAATACCAAGGAAGAATGTACATGAATCCTAGCATAAAGCAATTAAATGCTTGGGAGGCTGATGATTAAGGACAACGTCAATCAATACGCAAGTGATAAACTAGTCGTTCATTAATGACGATAACTGCTGGTACATTCAAAATTAGCAAAGGAAATTTAGTACGAAGTTACAAAAGGAAAGTTAAGGCATTAGATGTCTTAATTACAATTCACCCCAGGCTGAACGAATTCTTTCCCTAAGCCTCCCCCAATCTTCGCTCTGCTAAGAAGAAGCGACATTTAATTCAACTACAAAATCGTCATCAACTTCCATCTTTTTGTACTGCTCAACCAAAGACTTGGTTCGTTCAATTCCTTGGGAAGCATTACGCTTTTTAGCATCCATTCTCACCCTACAGTCGTTCATTTTTACTTGAAACTCCTTCATCTCTGCAGCCAAACTTGTCATCAAAGAGTCTTTGATCATAACGCGAAAGAGATTTCTTTTAATTCATCCTCGACTTTGTTAATCTCTAGAAGCAAAGACTCTCTTTCAGATGCAGCACGAAGGGATTGAGTACTCCTGGCCTTCAATTCAACATTTTTGGCTAGCAAGGAGAGGATGTCAGAGTGAACAACCTTTAACGTCGCTTTAAAATCAGCAAAAACATTGAGCGACGGAAGTGTAAGTGCTTGCGCCAATTTCATACTCAACAGCTTAAGCTTATCCTTATGTTTTGTAGCACTAGCCTGACCGATATCCATGTCCATGAAAGACACGTACTCAAATACCGACTGCTTGAGAAACTTCATATTTTCTTCTGAAGAAGTGGAAGGATGACTGGCTGAAGTAGGGCGAGACGTCTTGACTTGCCCCCAAAAAGTAAACAAGTCCTGGATGGAACGCACAATGTCATCAGCATCCTACAAAGAAAGATGCCAACATTGAGGACTTTCACTACAATAAACGAAGCGAAAATGAAAGTTAAGCAAAAGGTTACCTCATCAGCAATCTTGGGAAGTTCAGGCCTATCACCAGTTGACTCCACAATCTGTAGGGACTTGCCCTTATCTGGACGAGAAGACTCTACCACAACGGGCAGGCCCATGGGAGCCTCTGCATAATTCAAGAAGTAACGAATCAAAAATCAGTAGCATAAGTAAAGGTAAAATATCAAAATATGTATTACCTTCTGGTTCGACGTTTGGAAGGTCGGCACCCTGGGAAGAAGGTGGCCTTTCTACTGCTTGTGATGAAGGTTCTAGGACTAAGGGTTTCTCTTTAAGCATAATCCATTCATCAGCTGACTTGGACGAAACAGCTTCAGCAGAAGGTGATGGAGTAGGGGCTGCCAGAACCAAAACTTTCGAAGGTGAGGTTGAACTTTTCTGAGGAATTCAGGTAAACCATTAGTACAAAGAAAAGTATGCTTGGGAATAAACAAATTCAATTACCTTTCTCATATGGATGAGAGAAGCGTCATCATCATCATCATCATGCAAAGTGGAGACGCTGAAGCTGGCCGTTTGCGGTTTAAGACACTTTTAGCTGCAGTAGCCTTGGTAGGTAGAGAAGCAGATGGATGGATAGAATGTTTAGCACGAGTAGGGGAAGAAGGATTCCTAATGGACACAGGGGTGACCAAAACAGGGAAAGTAGAGGGAGTGCCTGGCTGGTCCAGTAAATGGAAGGCACGATTAGCATCAGTTGCAAATAATCGGCATTTTACTGATGGCCAAAGCTGTTCAAAAAGAGGATGGACAGCACGGCTAGAATTGAAAGGGGCTAATGAAAATTTGCTCGTCAAAAGAATGTTGCGAGCATCTATAGCTTGTGCCTTTGCCTTATTAATGGTGTGAAAGCGGTCGGTCAAATTTTTGGAGTAATAAGGAGGAACAGGCCAAGTTTGGCCAAAACCAAGTTGGCGAGCAAAAAATTGGGGAGCATATATTTCAACCCCAGCTTTGGCATTGGTTCCAGTTAAGATATTGTGGAACAATTCCCTCCCAATCAAAAACTGAACCCATACAAGCAGAGAGGCACTTGCGCTGTCAAGGGTGGATGGAGGTTGCACATAATCTGGAGTCAAATGAGCAGGAAAAGGAAAGAAGGAAGGAAATGTCCCTACTGGACCTATTTACAGGGGTCAGTGGATCAATGGCTAGCCCATAGCAGCTAGCAGAACAACTGAAAATGGATGGAGCACCAAGTGGTGAAAAATATGCTCTCAACCACAGTTGGGTGAACCAAAGGGGGCCACTGCCAATGGGAGATGCACCATTCTTCAGTTGAAACTGAAGGGAAGCCATGCCTCTATAAAGGGCGGCTAAAAAGAAGGAATATAAATTCAAAGGCCTACCACGCTCCAATTCATGCGCTATGGGTAAGTAGCTCATGGAAGGTTTCATACTTGGCACGCAAAGAATATATTTACAGAGCCAAATCTGAAGAAAGACCACACGCTCAGCATGGTAAGGTTCAGCGCTTGAGTGATTATAAAAGCTTTACAAGCTTGAATAGGACTCGGTAAGTTTCTTGTTAAATTTCGGGGCAACACTGAAAATCAAGATACCAGGAAAAATGGTATCGCCCAAAGGCGAAAGATTTACTAGGGCTCCAACATCCCTTGAAGTAATAGACATGGGACCAAGAGGGAAAACGAAGGTGTTATACTCAGAAGACCAAAAACTCAAAGCAATAGGAAAAAGCACTGGGTCAAAAATCGGGGGTTGAAGAGAAATTTCTAATAAATCTGAAATCCTAGCACGATCAAAAATCGCCTTGGTGGGGCCATGACTCACAAGACGTGCATGTCATCTACGAAAAATAACATCAGCTTTGGGCCAAGTGCGAATACCTTTTTCGTGAATCGGCCTCAATGACAGAGAGTTCAGGAACGGAGGACCTAAGTGCAAGGGAACAGCTGGCCCACCGCCACTTGTCCGACGACTTCGGCATTATTAAACGATGGACCTAAATAGAATTCATTGAGGTCAACACTAACTTGTGTAAGGAAGTTTGGATTTACATATGGCCTAGTGAGGATTTTCTGTAAATCTTAGAAACTAAAGGAATCATCAGATTGAGTTTGTGAAGTCGCCATTGGAAACAAAGCACAGTTTTGATAAGATTTACCTGAGAAACGTAGTAGAGAAGCAAGAAGATGAACAATAAAATAGCGAGGAAGAAGCGCGAAATATAGACGTGGTTGAGTGGTGCAATGAAATGGCGTGTCCTTTTGGTTTATAAGGGTTTGTAACATTGCACTTTTTCAGATTGTAGAAGGAAATAATGATTGAAATTCTTGGGGATTTAAAATATTGCTGAAAAATACAAAGTGAATATGGTAAAGGTTAATAATTAGTATTAATTCTGCCATATTGGGAGGTAATTGTTGATACACTAAAAGTGCAGCTCAAATCAAATAGCCCAAAGAGTGAAACCCAATTGGGAATCCAGGATAAAGGTCCAAACAGGATTATTGATGAATGTGGTGGAAGTCCACGAACACGGTAACATCATCGCCCAAGCTTGCAAGACGCCCAGGACCTGAGCGAATAGAATACCTTACGGTCGCCCAGAACGATGACCACGTCCTCGTCCAAACTTTCGAATCGCTCAGGATCTTAGCAAACATAAAATATTATAGTTATCCAAAATAGCAGTTATTGAGTGATCTTATCACATTCCACGATTCAAGGAGCCCAGTTGAAGGCGGTTGAACGACAAAGAGTAATGGCGACAGTTAGGGACGGCAGTTCCACGACAAGTTAGCCACTATGAAGAAAGTGGGTAGTTATACAACAATCAAACAGTTTCCAAGCGGTTTGTCACGAAGAAATTATCAAAGGAATATAAAAGGAAGAGAAGACATAGAGAAAAGGACTTCGAATCAAAAACTCTCAAACAAAGAATATATAATTTCAATTTCTTAGTTTAAACTTAAACACTTCTTTTAGTACTTGTGTGCTTGCGCCCCTTAGAGGCATTCTATGTAGTTCCAATTGTAAATCATCGCCAATAAAACATCAATCTTTGGGACTTTGTCTTAAGAGGTCTGTTACTTACACAATCGTCTGATTCCTTTTTTAATTGTTAGCGACTACCCGCTCGAAACAGTAATTAATGAGGAACTCTATATACTCTCTCACGGTCACGAGATCGAACATAATTTTGACTACAAGTTGAATATTTTTTGAAATCGTGATTGTCATGAAGTTTTTTATCTTGTCACATTGATTAATATATAATATTTTGTTCAATTCAATGTACTCGTGTTGATGATTAAGATTTATTTCGTTTTCTTTTAGGCGGTTAGGCATGCACTGATTCTTAGAGGGGCCAATTTTGATATTTTTGGTGTCTTGTCCTCACTCAAAAACTTACTGCCACTAAGGTCTAGAACTCGGTATGAACACCGAGTCTCCAAGTTCAACGTGATAATGACTATTATGTATGCACTAGACATGAATATGTGCCAATGATAGAAGTTTGAAATCGTCCCTATGTTTGCTTTGCTAAACTATCATGTCGTCATTCTATTGAGATGAGTATTTAATAAGGAACTCTATATACTCTTTTACGGGGTCACGAGATCGAACATAATTTTGACTAAAAGTTGAATATTTTTTGAAATCGTGATTCTCATGAAATTTTTTATCTTGTCACATTGATTAATATGATATTTTGCTCAATTCAATGTACTAGTGTTGATGATTAAGGTTTATTTCGTTTTCTTTTAGGCGGGTAGGCATGCACTGATTCTTAGAGGGGCCAATTTTGATATTTTTGGTGTCTCGTCCTCACTCAAAAACTTACTGCCGCTAAGGTCTAGAACTCGGTATGAACACCGAGTCTCCAAGGTCAATACGTCATCGTTTTACTGATATTCTCTCTGTGTTTTAACCCTAAAATTTTTATTATCCTTTCCCTATAAAATTTCTCCGGAAAAAAAAATAAAAAATAAATAAAAAAAATCCATAAATCACAGATTCGTTGAATCCCTTGCCAAACCCGTCTTCCGATTATCACTTTCAACTCTAAAATTCCCCTGTTAAACGCATTTTCTTTTCGTTCTCGTCTAAATTTTCATGGAAAGTTCCTTAATATCTAAAATCTTATCGCAATTCACTTAAATTTTCACTTTTTCCTGCAATCCCATGTCTCAATTATCACTCTAAACCTCAAAAATCCATTCTTTATCAAAGTTGATTGTCTTTATACTGCCATGGCTGCTGTTTTAAGATCAAAATCATCGCGAGATACTGCTACGTTTGCTACCTCACAGCTCAGATATTTCATTCAGAACCGTATCCACTCGGGTCGGACGACCCTTTTCCAACGGAGCGCTAGAACGGGATTTGATAGTTATTTGAATAATTATAATTTCATCTCAGGCTCCCCCTTTAACTTCACACCATTCAAGCCCATCTCTCTGCGTGGCGAATGTGTCGATAGTAGCCAGAGGAATTTTCCGAGTTCTTTTAGGACTAAGCAGAAAATCGAGAACTTTAGCTCCCAAGGAGACCCGCCGGAGGTCTGGCAGCCTCCTGGAGCGGATGGAATTGTAGTGCGTCCGGGGGTCAAATTTATTCCGATGAGTGAAGGGGACGGGCCAAGTACGGGTTCTGGTAGTGGGTTGGGGTCGGGCTCCAAGGATGGGAGCTGGGGTGGGTCCAATTTTGGCCCGAATTTTCCAACCCCTAAAGAAATCTGTAAGGGGCTAGATAAATTTGTCATTGGCCAGGAGAGAGCTAAAAAGGTTGTCTTTTTCAGTTTAATGGTTATTTGTTTCGAGTTTTTAGTTGTTCTGAGTCGAAGGATAATTCTTTTTTTTTTTTTTTTTAAGATTCTATGCCGTACATTGAATAATGATGCTGTCATTGTAGTGAAGTTGAATCTACTGATTGCAGGTCCTTTCTGTAGCAGTTTATAATCATTACAAGAGGATATATAATGATTCCGCCCAAAGGTAATGGCTTTATAACCTTCAATTTCACTTTTTTTACATTTCTGTAGATGTCACACAGTACTTAAGATGGGTTTTGAATATCATTTGATGGAGATATCGGTTCATATGGATTTCTAACACTTAGCTTCTATTGTTCACAAGCTGAATTTCAAGTTTTTGGACTGACTGTAAGGGAATCTTGGGAAACTAATTACTGCGCTGTTGGCCCATGTTGATTTTTGCCTGCATTTTCTGCTACTGCTCTGTCAACCTTGATAGGAAAATGTCTAATGTTAGCGTTTTACCTTGGAAGTTAGGTCTGCAGGGAGTACAGATACTGACAAAGTTGATGGCACAGATAATGAGACGGTGGAACTTGAGAAAAGTAACATTCTTCTCATGGGACCAACAGGCTCAGGTAATCTTTTTGATATCTCAGTACTTTTCTCGAGTGCGACAGATTTCTGCCCATGTTTATATGCAGAATAATGGCTAAAAATTACTTTAGTTTTCTAATAATGTGGACACCTAGGATTTTGAGACTTTATCTGGTCTAATAGTGATTTGGAATGGTTTGATCTCTGCAGAATCATTTGAAGTTATCATACTTTGAATGAACTCTTCTCCCTTTTCTAATTATTCTGTTTATTGTCAAATTTAGATTTTATGTTTGGTGATATTTAAAGACTACAGATTGAGTGTATGACTTGTCAAAAGGAGGAGTTAGCACTTAGAAGTATCTGTTATTTACTGATTTCTCTATGCATCTCTTCACTCTTCCAATATTACTTTTTCACTTGTCTTCTTTGAATGTTATTTCAAGGACAGGGAAGACGCTACTTGCCAAAACTTTGGCACGGCTGGTGAATGTTCCCTTTGTAATTGCGGATGCTACTACACTTACTCAGGCATGTTTTTTATTTATCCTTCTATTTGATGGAGGAGGATGCTTTCTGATTTCCTATGAATTAACTATGGCATTATGCTGTGCATTTGTAAGTTAATGACTATCATAGTATATCCCTGTGATTTGATTTTCATGACATTATTGTTATAAATTTTTGCGAACAAAGTTTTTCTCAGCTTTTCAGATTCGCTAAATAAGGGTTCTCTGTACAATTAGCGGCACATAGTCATCTGACAATTTGATAACATTTCAGCAAATTTTATGTCAATGCGAGCTTTTTGAAATAGATGAGTATATATTTTGTTTCTGTTCTGATAAAGACGTTTCTTGTTGGCAGGCAGGATATGTTGGGGAAGATGTGGAGTCCATTTTATATAAGCTACTTACAGTAAGCTCTAGTTTACTTGATGTAACTGGATTAGTTTTTATTGAATTGAAATTACGCCGTTAAGATCCTGTCAACTGTGTTTTTATTCCTCACAATTCTCTTAGCTGTTTTATCGTTTTGTTATTTTTTCTGGGTTCGGGGAGGTCTTTGATATCTTTTTATCCTTTCTGCTTGCGTATTATATGGTCTTCTGCTTCTTTTTTCTTCATTGGTTATTGACTTTTTAAAGCAACTTTATACCCCTGTTTGATATTTTGATTTTGCTTTCTTATTATCCTAAAGAATAAAGGACAAGTTAGGTTCTAAAATTTGCAGAAATCAATATTTTTTCTGGTCTGAATTTTGTCTTTTACTGATTATACGAGAAATCTGTATTTGAATTTTTCATATTTTTGCTAAAATTGCCTGATGCATGACAGCCAGGTAAATGTCTTGACTCGTAGAAAAAATAAATTGAAAACTTGATATATTGTTTAGTCCAAATCTTTCGTTGGCAAAAAATTGTTACATTTTTTCATGGTGATTTCCAGTTTCATGTTAGGATTCTAAGCTATGTAGGCGAAATATGTTTTACATATATATTCCAGTTAGTGATTCTGGTCTTATTTTATTTCAGGTTGCTGACTATAATGTTGCAGCTGCACAGCAAGGCATAGTCTATATTGATGAAGTTGACAAGATCACAAAAAAGGTATTTTCAAGCATATTTCCGTGAACAAAATATATGTTAGCATTTATAGTTAGTGTCTTAACATTATTTATGATAATGATCCAACTCATTCCTTACTGTATCTGCAGTCCGAGAGCCTCAACATCAGTAGAGATGTGTCGGGAGAAGGTGTCCAACAAGCATTGTTGAAAATGCTCGAGGGCACTGTAAGTACTTTGTTTTACTTTTACCTTCTTGAAAACTGCTTTTACCTTCTTGAAAACTGCAACTTTGCATTTTATATATTCTGAGCCAATGAAGAATTGTTGGTCTCCACATTGTACCCCTACTTACATCGATATAGGTTTTGCTGTTCTTCCCACGAGATAAATAGAGTTGTATGAAAATTATGCAATGGACGCTAAGATTTACCAAAATAAAAACCATCTGGCGGGGATACTTGTCCTAATCAACAATTCTTAGGATTTTTTTCATTATATATTGATCTGAAAGTAGGAGAAAGTAATACAGTCAAAACTGATGAATAAATTTTTATTTGCCATATTTTGAATCGGGTTCATTTTTCTGATCAGCACACTGTTCTTTTCCAGGTGGTCAATGTCCCAGAGAAAGGAGCTAGGAAGCATCCTAGGGGTGACAATATTCAGGTATTGGATGATTTAACCTTGTGTCAATGACTGTGATGTGATTAGTTACATAATGCTTGTTGCTGAAAGCAGCTGCTGCTGATATTGGAGACAAATGATACTCCGATTTTCTGTAATTTTGAGGATGATATTCAACTGTGTATTTTTGGGGTTTTTATAAATGGGGTGGAAGAGGGAAGACTAAATGCAGAGAGCATTACATCCCCTTTTCTGTTGACTCTGAACTCGAGTGTTCAGCATTGTTTTGTGATTCTTTGATCATTTTCATTTATTTATTTCTTTAATCTACTTATGTTATTGATGTTATTTTCTGTCGCATGTATTGGTCTATGTGTGTCTGCATGTCCATTCTGCTGTTTCAAGATTAATCCAGATGTTGGCTTGTCATTGACTTCTCATGCTTTGTACTAAGCCATACATGGTCTATGCATCCTAATGTTTCATTACTTATTGATTTTATGTTTTCACAGATTGATACGAAAGACATTCTCTTTATATGTGGCGGTGCCTTTATTGATTTGGAAAAAACGATCTCAGAAAGGTCCATATAACTCTAATATTCTAAACTATCTTTTTGTAGTGTTACCTTTTAATTGTTAACATATACTCATCGCAGGCGTCATGATTCTTCTATTGGTTTCGGCGCACCAGTACGGGCAAACATAAGGACAGGCCATGTTACAAGTGCTTCTGTGGCATCATCTTTACTCGAAACTGTGAGCCTCATAACAGCTTAACATGCTTTCTTGCTTGAGCGTGTGGAGAGCAGTCCTTTTATGTACACCATATATGCTGGAGACTAACTGCATGATAGAATAACCTTGGTGTATGGCTGCATCAGAGCCTGACGCAGAAATTACTCTTTGTAATAATATGATGATTACCCCCATGAAAGCGTAATTATCATTCTCTTTGAATTATCATGTTTTGCAGGTTGAAAGTAGCGACCTAATTGCGTATGGGTTAATACCTGAGTTTGTTGGACGATTTCCCATCCTAGTTAATTTGGCAGCACTTACTGAAGATCAACTTGTTCAGGTATTTTATTTGCAAAATCAATGTGTTTTACATTTGTTGGATTCAAGAATCAAGTTTTCCTGTAATTCTGTTTCCTTCTAGACATGAAGGCTATGGTGATTACAATGTTACTTTCATTAGCCATTGAGAGATGATAACAAGAACAGATAGATTTATTTGCTGATTGCTGTCAGAATCGTTCTGAACAGGATCTTCTGTTGATTTCTCTTTGACTTTTCTGTTAAGTTTTTGAATCTTGTTTCTTTTTGTTTAATTGTTAAATTTTTTATATTTACCTTTTCTCACTAAGATGCGTCAGACAAATGTGAGAATATTATATTATTTAATTTTACGATTAACTTTCAGTATAATGGCTCTTGCAGACTAAGTTCTTAATTTTTATTTATGCAGGTTTTAACAGAGCCTAAAAATGCGTTAGGAAAGCAGTATAAGAAGATGTTCCAAATGAATGAAGTAAGTTTTCACATCCCTCCGTTGCAATCTGGTGAGAAAGGACCAATTTAATTTGTCTCCCCTTGGGGTGTTGTTCTTATCTTTCCTTCTTTCTTCCTTTTTTTTTTTCACTGGGGAGAATTGGGTTTTGGGAGGGGTGTGGAGAAGTAAAGGGAGGATTAATGAGCTTTTCAAGACATAATGTCTTGTTATAGTCAAAGGTAATGTTCTACATTGAACATTTTCAACTATGCTGCTTGTTTCTCAGGTGAAGCTTCATTTCACAGAAGATGCATTGAGATTGATTGCTAGAAAAGCAATAACCAAGAATACAGGAGCTCGGGGGTTGCGATCCATGTTGGAGAATGTTTTGATGGATGCTATGTATGAGGTTTGTAATTCCTCTTTTGAATTTTATAAAAATCAAGGAATTTTGGACGAAGCTATCTCTATGATATCATTAGCTGGTTGAACTTTGTTAAAGGTTGAGAACAAATCTTTTGTCCGGAGCATTGATCACGCATCTCTAAGAACTAGTCATATCACGTGTCTGAACAGAAGCTAGTTAATTGAGCCATTATTTGACTGGACAAACCCCACTCGATCAACCCAATTTTAATTTAGTGTGGTGTAATAGCAAATTCTCTCTTATTTTATTTTCCTCCTTCCCCCTCTTGATTTTTCTGTTTGATGGTGAATTATAAATTTATCTCTTGCAGATTCCTGATGTTAGAACAGGGAATGACATAATAGATGCTGCTGTAGTAGATGAGGAATCCGTTGGATTTGAAAAAAGTGGATGTGGGGCTAAAATCCTTTATGGTAAGGGGGCATTGGACCGCTATCTTTCAAAACACAAGTTAAAGGATTCGGAGGTATAGTGATCTTGCAAAAGATATCTCGATATTTTTCCTTTTTTTCTGTTAAATCAGCTTCTACATTGGTGCATTTATGTTTATTTTGCATTACAGGCATCTGCAGATGGGTCTGAAGGAGAACCTGAGGTGGAACCGGAACTTGCTTCTATTGTTGCTTTGTAAACTTTCAATGAGGTCTGTGTATGGTCTCGATATGTACAGTATAAATCATAATGACTATAGTTTCTAAATTTAGAGTCTAGTTGCAAATTTATTGTACTTAATGTTTCTATTCTACATTTATCCATTGCCATCTGAAACGGATAATTATCCTGTCTTCATTTAACCAAATGACCTCACTCCAGCAAAAAAGATTTATATTGACAGTTGCTTATGCTGTACTAGAGTATTTCCGCTCATAAATATCCAAAGTGGAGCCATTTACCGGTGAATCTTTAACCACTGCTGCATTTTCTAGTGTAGTTTGTAGCTTCGTTTTGAATGTTAGTTGTTCTATGTTTTTAACGTCGCTTTCTAGTTTCTCTTTTGAGAGTGCAAGGTTGACGGATGTGGAATGAGTCGAAACAGTACCCTAGTGTGGGTTGATTGACGTTGAAAAGGAATGTTTGCCAGTGGGTGGCAGCAGCCACTACTGGTGTAGCTGAGGAGGGTCGGTATTTATATCTTCGGTCTTTGGCTACTGGTAAGGTTACAAGCAGAAGCTCAGCTGGTGCGTATATCAAATAATTGGCTTATTTTAGGGATCAAGTTGTTTGGGGCTGGCAAGTGGAGAATATAATATCATTAGGAAGACTTGGATGGTCCACGCTCCACAGGACATAATTTGAGGCAGTTGCAACTCATGATCTGGTAAACATCCTGGTATGATTGCCAAATTTTTCTACGACTTCTTTTAGCCTTTTAGGTTATGTTTGGCAAAGCTTTAAGTGCTTATAATTGTGGGTCTGCAGAGTGAGGATAATAAATGGGTGGGATCTTACAAAATAGGAAATGAAATGTATTTTTGATCAGCTTAAAAAGGTTCGCATTCAATTGTTTTGTCAAGCGTGTACTAAACATGTCATAAGTTTGAATTTTGAGAAATTCTTCTAGAGAATAAGTAATATGAACTTATAAGTTCGGATATTCAAACAGTAGATGGAAATTACATGGAGACACAACTTTTAATTTTCAACTTTATAAGTAAGATTTTAAGTTTCATCTTTTCGGATTTCAGATGATAATTAATTATTTAACATTTATTAAATAAATACTATATTAAAAATCAATCAATATTAAAAACAAAACTCTCTCTCTCTCTGTGCATTCTCTCTTCTCATTCTATCCTTGCCTTCGGCGTTCACTCTACTATTATCGTCGCAAGCAACTGTACTGTTTTGCAAAGTGGCCTATACTGTTGTTGTTGCCCTTGCTTTTACTTGAATCGGCAACGAAAAACAAGAATCAAATTTTCTAAACAGTGATTGAGGGTTATTTTGGTTGATGTTTTATTCATGGATGAGGTCTTCTAGGTGTGAATTAACCACTTGTGGTGCACGATGATGGGTATAACCTTGGGGGCGGAATTTTGAACAAATTCTATTCAGGTCTTGGTGGTTGATTTTGGTCGGAATGTTATTTTTGTTGATGTTTGTCCATGGTTGAGGTCGTTTAGGTATGGATTAATCACCTATAGTGATGCGTGATTTTGGGCATCACTGTGGAGGTTGTATTTTGCCACAAATTTCATTCTGTTCTTGGTGGCTAATTTTGGTCGGAATGTTATTTTTGTTGATGTTTGTCCATGGTTGAGGTCGTCTAGGTATGAATTAACCACCATTAGTGATGCGCAATTTTGGGCATCATCGTGGCTGTTGTATTTTGCCGCAAATTTCATTATGTGCTTGGTGGCTGATTTTGGTCGAAATCTCTTGCAGTTTGGATCATGAGCGTTGGATAAATAAGTAAAAAGAAAATTATATACAATTTAGTTTATATTCTTATAGATTAGTTTGAATAAATAAAATTACAACTAATCACATAAAATTTTTGTAAGGATATTTTAGGTATATAAAACTCATTTTAAATTATATATGTTCAAAAACTTGTGAGGAGGCATACGTGTTGGTGATAATTTTTGAAAAATATGAGGATATCTTTGATGTTGTTAGATGGTGAGAGTGTCTTTAATATCGTCTCTAAAATTTATTTGCGTTGAAATGTCCTCAAACCCCGTTTGCGTCCACCTTGGAGGTATCAACGGGTCGGATCAAGATGCATCTTGCCCACGACAAGGCTGGCAGAAAGTTGTGCATCAGCTAGGTCGATTCTCTCTTATGCTAGTTTGACATGTTTGATATCCACAGCAATGGGCCAGCCACCAAGGCTAGGCTCATTGGCCAAGAGGCCTAACTTGCCTCCACCAGCCACTGATGAGTCTAGTTGGATTAGCTTGCGAGCTTTTTGAATTTTTTAGACAGGGCTCGTCGACAAGCCCACAATTCCACCATTCAAACCTGCTCGTGAATCTCACGCGACTGTTCTCTCAACGCCAACATCTGGGCTCGTGATGGAAAAGCTTAGATCAAATTGAATATCCCATCCTCGATATGTCGTGAGATAGATAGCTCCACTCATTGAATATATACAAATAGCGTTTCATAATGGGATAAATCAAAGATCATAGATATCTTTTCTTTATTCTTTTCATTTAGCAAAATGACAAGTTTAATTAAATATAAAATCTCATTTGATCGAACCCATTAGTTAATACTACTTGCACGTTTTAAACATCAGTAATACCAAATAATACTATCCTTCATAAAATGAAATAGCATAATTTCATGACTATGTCGACAAATTTAATTTGTCAAATTGAATTGGACAATCAATAGACTTGTGACATCCGGCCTTATTAGTTACCATAAAAGAAAAGAAAAAAAGGTGAAAAGGAAAGGGTGGCACCCTTAAAGGGCATGGGAATAATTGGATACTACTATTATCAAGTCAAAAATATCAAGAATAATGATGGTTACACGGGGTTAAAGATAGAAAAGTGTGGATGAGCTAGGTTTAAAAAAAAAAAAATTATAATAAAAATCAAACCGTTCATTCATGCTTCGACACGCGTTTCCCATTTTTAACCTTGTTTCTGACCATATTTTTGTAGCATTTCTCAAATATCAAAGAGATCAATAAATTTCAAATGTGGTTCAATTATTGGATGTACATACAACTGGCTAGCAGTATAGCAAATCGAACATGAATCCCGTCTGGGTTTAATCAAGGAGAGGAACCACCATTGACTTTGGAGTACTGTTACATCATACCTGGTAGGATATTTTAAGACATTTTATTGACCACTTCAATTCGAAATTTGTTTGCTATGTATTTGAAGTTAGAGAGGGAGAGAGCATATTTTTATATAAAAAAAAAAATAATATCATTCACAATATTGATATAAAATCGTGCTAATAGGGACAGACACTGTTAGATCAAAGAATATTCCTATTACTATGATTGAACGTTGTTCAATCATTTTAAGAACTAGACTGAAATAGTTTTTATTGAAAATTGTGAAACATGGCTCAACATAGAATAAATCGGGATAGGTCAAATTCAATTTCATTTTTTTAAATCCTATTTTCAAGTACATAACTTTCATAAAATAATATTACACATAAATTAAAAAAAAAATTTCTTTCTCAATCACTCATTTTTCAAAAAAAAAAAAAATACTATTTCATCCATTTTCACTTCAAAAAATGGAGGTCAAACGGGGGCTAAATTTCATAGTTCTAATTCAACCCTGGTTGGCCCCCATTTTTTAGAAACGAAAATGGATAGAATAGTATTTTTTGAAAAAATGAGTAGTTGAAAAATAATGAAAAATTTTCAGTTTATATGTAATATTATTTTATGAAAAATTGTATGATTGGAAATTGGTGCGAGAAAAATGAAATGTAATGGAATTTAACGTTATGAGATTCATTGCTTCAAAAATTAATTGTAAAGTTAATCTAAGTTTTCTTAAGTAACTCGCACTTTTTGTCGTTTCAAACGACAAAATATTAATTATTCTAAAAACATATTAATTCAAATAGATTCATACAAATTACAATTTGAGAGAGAGATTTTAAGAAAATAAATATAAAACCAAATTAACTAGAACCAATAATTAGATCGCACATTTCAATTTTTGATTTGAAGATTCAGAACGGATCAATTGGCTATTTCAAATTATTGAGTGGTCAAAAGATTATATAGTCAACTTAATTGTCGTGATCAATGTGACAACTCGTCCATTATTAGAGATCATTTTCTATCTTTCCGTGTTATAACTAAAAGATTAATTGCTTTTTTTTTTTTTTTCCCACATTTTATCTCACATACATGCATGGTTTCATCATCGTCCTACAATTTTTATTTTATTTTATTTTAATTAAAACCACATTGGAGCTCCATTTTTAAGATAATAAATTTTGTAATAGTAATTTTTTTTTTGAAGAATGTGTGATTAAAAAATAAGTCAAATTTTAAACTCATATACAAAATTATTTTATTGAAAGAATGTAAAGTTGAAAATGAATTTAAAAAAATTAATTTTTATATAGTGAGGCTCAAAACATGGACTAAATTGAATCCATGGTGTGAATATAATAAAAAATTACAAATTAAAATAATATAACTCGAAATAAATTGTTGACATTGACCGTAAAATTTCACTAAGAGTCTCTACTAGAATTTAAAATATGGTGATTATATTGCTACCACAATTTTTATTCAATACACCACATTTTAATCGCAATTAAACTCCTTAATATTTGTTCATTATAACAATTATTTTTTTAACTTTTTTCGTTCAATTTTTATCTTTAATATTCTATTAATTAGTATGTCTCGTCTTTGATGATGATTTATATCAAAATATTTTTGTTTTCACACTTTGAAATGAGGGAAAATATTATTTTTTAAATATAATGAAAATGGAAGTTATTTTATGTTATTTTAATGGACTTTTGAATATAGAACTTTATCAAATACAAAATATGATAATTAACGAAAAGTTTGAAGAAAGAATTACATGAAAAATCGTTAGAAATATTGGTGTTATAATAGGCAAAGATTAGGAACCTTAAATGTAATTAAAATGTGATATAAGAAATAAAAATTATGGTGCAAATATAATTACCCTTTAAAATATGCTGTTGGCAAATTTGTGTGGTCTCTGATTTACCAAATATATGTGTCTTAGTAAATTATAATATAATAGATACAACTTTGACTATACCGTTTAAGTAAAATATATGCAATAAAATTTTTAGTTAACAAACGTGACTAGACTAACGATCTTAGCTAAAAGTTTTAAACGGTAAAAAACATGGCACATTTATTAAAATGA